GGAGCAGATTTTGAGAGCGGCTGTGGCTGAGATGAGAGCTCAGCAGAGGCACAGAGCTATGGGTTATATTGCTGGCTGTCTTTTTTTTCCCTTGTTCTCTTCATGTGAACTGCTTCTGAGAGTTTTGTTTGTGAGCAGAGATGATGCTTGGAGGAGGTCCAGCTCTCTCCATGCCTGGGGTATGGGTGGTCTGTGCCTCTGAACCCAAATACAGGCAGGGTTGTTTGGTCGTCCAGCCATTAAGTTCTTAAATCTTAAGTTTTGAGTAAACTCTTCTTGGATACATATTTTTGTGCTAAATGATACAGAATCTCTAGCTCTGAAGGTTGGCTAATCAGAATTACAGAATTAGGATTGTGGTAATGATTTCTGAGTACTGATATAGTTGTTTTAAACTTGGTGGGTTTATGTCCTTGGCTTAGAATCATGAGTTTTCTCAGTTGACTGTTGCATTTCATCCTACCATTGCATTGAACTGACTCAAACTTGCAAGGCAGGGTTTTTTGAAGTTGAAAAGTGTGGGAGATTAATGGAATGGTCCACATCTGGGACCTGGACTTTCTGCCTATCAATTTTTTCCTCTCATGTGAAGAGCAAAACAGAGGTTCTGCCACCTCCAAATCTTGCAGACCTGCAGTCTGTAGATCCATAGGATAAAAAACTTGTTGTACTTTATGGAGCAGGCATGATAGACTTGAAAAGCAATAGGGATTGCCTAGAGAGTGACTTATATGAAAATTTAGGTGAGAGACTGAGTATTTATTAGCATTTCAGTGAGCCACTCGCTGTGAGTGAGGAAGCCTGAGGCAACATCTACAGGGTGGACCACAGGAGGCCCAGTGGTGAGGCTTCAGCCTTTTTGACAAGGCAGATCTGTTCTTCCTGGGTTCTGTGCTTAGTGGACATGGCATGTTCTTCTCCCCAAGGTGAGGCTGGTGCTCCATGGAGGGAGACTTTCAAACTTTGCAAGCTGTTTCTTCTGGAACGAGCAGTATCCACACCCAGCCCAGCAAGATCAGTGTGAAGAAAGTTGGTATTTCATCATTTATTTTGAGGAGTGCTGTACTTTGTCTCAATTTTGTACATGATGGGCCCTTTTAAAGTACAGCCTCTCCTGTCAGGAGAGGGCAAATGGGAGATTCTAGATAACTGGAAGTATGCAGTAAGGAAACAAATTTTATGTGGCATCTGAACATCAGCATGATCCCTGAAGTTCAGATACCAAAAGGTACAATTCTCCTTCTCAGCACCTTCCTGGAAACAGTGCATCACAGAAGAAAGCACATGATGCATCACATTTAGTAGTGATTTTTCTTGAGAGGGACCTTTAGGTGTTGAAGCTAAAGAGTTTGTGCATGGTTTAGCACAATATACAAAGTCCAATAACTGAAATGAAGCATAAAGCCTCATTCCATCTTCAGCACAACCTTCATAATGATGTTTTGCACTTCTGTTGCTCATGCAGTCAACATATTTCATAATGCTTTGGAAACATTAAAGAATGATCATTGGTTATAAAAGCATGCTTTCATTTTTAACCTACTATTATTTGCAGTAACCCAGAAAAGAAGTGGTAGTGAAAGCAATTGGGTAAAGAAAGCAGCAGCCTGTTAGCTGCTCTGTTTTGTGCACTTCAAATAATTATCTATACAATCAGTTTTACTGATTTCTTGTTCCAATGTGCATCCTTCAGATAGGACAAAAGGAAAGGGGCAGGAGGGTTTAAACAAGAATGGGTAACTCCTAAATAGATGAGTGTATAGGTAGTATATGAAATAGCTTTAAAAAAAACAAAAAGTCTTTAACTTAATTCTTTCTGAGGTGTTTACTTCTGCTTCCATCTTGTAGATGAAGGATGAGGAAACTCAGGCCTAGAGCTCAAAAGTGACCTACCTGAGATGATAGAGCTGAACTGCAGGCTGAGCTGGCCACAGAAGTTAATCTCTTAATGAACTTGTGGGTTTCTGCCTCACCCCCCTTGGTAGAGAAGGCTCTGGAAGCATGGTTGTGTTTGCAGTTACAGTTGCAGCATAGAGGAATTTGTTGAGTGTTTTTAATGGACACGACTGGGTCTTTGTGAGGCTTGAGGTGCAGATCCCTGCAGTGGTTTCCACTGGAAACCAACTGAAATCTTGTGTAGGGCATGGAGGGAAATGATTTTCTGGCTGGGGGGGCAAGTCTTTGGGAGGGAGGCAGCCTCTCTAGGATTAAAAGCTCTAGCAGCCCACAGAAGGATTTCACCATTAGGTGGGCTGAGCCCTAAAGCACAAGACTTAACTTATAATTGCATGTGATGATAGCAGCAACAAGTTAAGTCTTTCTTTGTTCTTAATGCTTAATATTTGTTCTTCATGCACTTTATGTCACACCAAGTTCAAGTCGACTGCTTTTTCATTTATTTTTGGTCTTCATTTTGGGTCTGTTTTACAGTGAGGTTTCGAAGCTGTCACGGAAACCAAAAAATACACTTTGGGAGCAGTGAGCCAGAAGATTTCAGAGTAGGTGAAGATGGTGTGGTCTATGCTGAGCGAAGCTTCCAGCTTTCATCAGAGCCCACGGAGTTTGTCGTGTCTGCTCAAGACAAGGAAACCCAGGAAGAATGGCAAATGAGAGTGAAGCTGACCCCTGAACCAGCCTCCACAGGGGTGCCACCAAAGGTAAAACAACTAAATGCAACCTGCGTGAGTGCACCTCTGCAAACAGACCTGAAAATAGGGATTTGATGGTGTCCATCAGGCACCTCTCCATGGGGCAGCTCATTTATGGCCACCTAGTGCATGCAGAGCTGGAGCTTTACAAAGAACTTTTCTGTAGTCTTAATTCTGTAGCTTTGCTAAGGCATGGAAAGAAATGCTTGTTTAAGGCTATAGGATTCGTTTAGGTTGGAGCTTTTTGTTTGTCTAGTTTGAGATTTATACCTGAATTTCAGTCAGAAACGGTCATTTCTTTATTTTAAATGTCTTGAAAGTATTACAGTGTCTATTGGAGTGGTTAAATATAGCCACAGAATAAACAGATTTGTGCTAGAATGCATCAGTCACGTTTATTAGATGGGAACTGGAGATTTACAACAGTAGCAGGACAGCTTTTCTGGCCAGGAATATTGGCTTTGTCTTGTTTCTTCATAATCAAATTGGAGATTGTAAGTTATTCATGATTCCTGCAGTATTTGGTGAGGAAGATAGTCTCCCTCTGCTGGAAGCTGCCATAGGATAACCCATGGACTTGAACAAAACTCAAACCTAGCAAGATACACAAAAAAGGCATTTATTTTAGGAAAACAGTGTTAGCCTTTTGCTGTTATATCACCTGCTCTTTCTTACATTCTCTTGTAAAGTGCTTAGTTTACAAATAAAGAACAAAATTTATTCATAGATAAACATACCTGTAATAGGTATGCTTTAAAAGATTAAAGCATAATGTCAAAATAGACAGTGTGGTTATGCAAGATATTTTCCAAAGAGCACACTGGAGACCAGAGCTGTGGAATCCTCAGGGTTTTTTTGTCTACTTACCTGATGACTGTTTTAAATCATCTAAGGTATGCTATTAACAGAGTCAGGGTTGTCATTTTGTCTGTAAAAGTCTAGTAAAAGAGCAAAACCAGGGCATTCCCTGTTCTTTCCAAAGGTCCAGTTCAGTCATCCTTGCCATCAGCAGGATGTTGAGTAGTCCAGCCTGGCCTTCAGCTGGACATTTGTTTCTACTGTGGCATGTTGGATTAGACACTCTTTTAAAGCCTTTCTCTTAAAAGATTTGGAAAAAGAGTGTTTTTGTCCACCCTTGAGCAAGCTAGCACAGCTATGTGTGTGTGCTGGCATCCACAGGCCAAATTGAGTGCAGATAGAGAAGGGACTAGGAAAGGAATGTTGACACCCAGCAGAGATTAATGCCCAATGTGTAAAGTGGGTCATCTACTGCATCCATCATGGCTGACATAGGTTTAAAATAATTACAGCATTAATTCTATGGGATTTAATAGGGTCATAAATATTTGAGACATTCCTTACCAGTATGTATTAAACTTCTCTTGGAACTCAAATTATATTTTAGCACACCCAGATCTAAATTTAATGTACAGTAGCACATTACCTGAACTGAAGTTCTGGCTAATGAGAAAGAAGTAAAGGCATGTTATTAAATTCTGCAAAATATTAACTACTTTTCAGAAGGTGCAGAACAGTTTACACAGTGGTGCCATGTCATAAATAGTTTAGCATTCCATTTCTCCTCCAACTTGAATAAGGTAAAAAAAGAAAAGGAGTTTTTGAAATTTAGCAGTGGAGTTGGAAGTAATTTTGGTTATCTTCGTGCTGCACTGTTGAATGCAAATGAAGCAGTTCTGTGAACATGGAGGAAAAACAGTCAATTATGTAACTGAATCTGAGTTTATCTCATAACGTCTACTAGTAATTCTCCTTCTAACATGTGCTTAATTTTATCTTGTATCTGGGAAAGGACCAAAAGGAAATTGAAGACATTGTATTTCCATGGCAACAATACAAGCACAGCAGCCCTCTGAAGAGGCAGAAGAGAGACTGGGTTATTCCTCCAATCAACCTGCCAGAAAATTCCAGAGGACCTTTTCCTCAGGAATTAGTTAGGGTAAGGAAGTTAATAGAAAGGTGTTTTCAGTGTCCCTTGGAGAGCTCTTGAAGAGATTTTTGTGGTAGTCCAAACATCTATCAGAGCCTTTTGGGCTGGTGTCTGTTGCTACCTTTGTGCCTCATGGGCTGGGCTGCATTTACTGGTGTGGTTTTTTGAGTTGTCCCTGTGCTCCTGTACTGGTGGAAGGTGGCCTTGTTTTGGGTGACAAGTGCTGTGATGAATTCCTTAAGTAGTTAAGGAGGATCTCTGCTAATTCAGAAGTTCTCCAGTCATCTGCTATGAGTTTTCCACTTGGGAAGGGTGTGAGGGTGGGCAGGCAGAGGAGTGCAGAAGGAGATGGGATGTGATGGGGTTGAGGACACCAGCTGCTCAGAGGACTCTGCAGCACAGAGATGGCCACAGCCTGTAGCCCACCACAAGGAGAGGGCTTCCAACCATGCTACTGGTTGGTTAGGATCAACTTCTGTGAGGATTTGTTGGAACTTGATAGAGCATTAGCCCAGGTTGGTGGGATGTGGTTTTGCTCTGTTGTGTTGATGTGCATGCTGGTGACTCACCTGCTCCTCCCAGATGCACTGCCCTTTAATTTTTTTCCTTGGAAGATGAGATCAAAATTCAGTCTTTAAACAAACCCAACACGTTTCTCATGGGCTACTGTGAGTAGCCAAAGTGAATCTGTAGCTTTGATCTGGAGGATGAGCAGGGAGGGAAAAATCCACAACAAACAGACTTTTTATTTCTTGCATAATTTTATGATAGTTTGTTTTTTCTAGGATCTAAACAATTCTGTTTAAGGTAAGAATGCTTATTTGTATTGGTTTAATACAATTTATCTCTTTATGAGAAGTAAGCAGGGCTAGTTTTATATTCCTGAAAATTCCTTGACCACCTTTCTGACCAACGAAAAATGCCGTTGGAAACCCCAAACTTGGTACTGTCTTTGCCAGGGTAATTATTTTCACAAGTTTAGCTTGAAGAGGGAAGAAAAAGAAAGAAGAGCCACTGCTGCTCTCTGCAGCACTCCCTCACCTCTGGTTGGTTGTAGCTAATGTCAGTGTTATCTTTTTTTTGACACCTAGATAAGGTCTGATCGTGACAAGAGCCTCTCGTTGAGGTACAGTGTGACTGGCCCAGGAGCTGACCAACCTCCAACAGGCATCTTCATCATCAACCCCATCTCAGGACAGCTGTCTGTGACAAAGCCTTTGGACCGAGAGCAGATTGCTTCTTTTCATGTAAGGGTTTTAATTCACCATAAATCAGGTTATCAAACTGAAGGTAGCAGCTTCCAACGTGACTCGTGTAGCAGCGTTTGGTTTTCTGTGGGAAAAGATTTGAAGAGTTTGTAGCAGATTTGTGTTTATTGTACTTATTAAAGCTAACTCTTACTAAGTTTAAGCAGCTTAAATACATTAACATACATAAACAGTGATTTAATAGGTTTAAAGTAGTTTTTAAAGCTTGAAGTATGGATCCTGTAGCTAATATTTCAAATACAGGCCATTGATCACAGTCTCCACTGCAAGTGTATATTTTTCAAAAGTTTACTTTTAATTCAGCAACTTAAATTAGGACGTGACTGCTATTAGAACTGCAGCAGCTGTGATTTGAGAAATGGATGGGAAGAATAACCTCCCCATTTTCATTTTCGGGGGCAAATCTAAGCATTTTAATGGAATTGGAAATTAGGTCTGTCAGCTTATGAAAATGATATTCTTTGCTCTAAAAAAAAGTTGACAAAGTAGACCACGGATTCTAGTGGATAAGAAAGACTTGAGGGAAGGGAGAAGACTGAGTTGTGACCTAAAGTTGTCTCTGCATTTGAGAGAGCACGCTGAAATCATTACAGAAGTCACTCAGAGACTCAGAGAGAGAGTTTCCAACATGTCATGGAGTAAAAACACTCCTTACCTCCTCTGGGAAGCCCCTGGAGTGCTGCTCCTGAACAGAGGTGACAGCAGGAGGCTGCTGGGGGAAGGCTGAGGAGAATGGTTGTCACAAGGGAACAGCTCCCACATCCTTCAAGTTTTTCCTGAGAATTTAGCATTCAAGTTTCACTGACTTAGGAATTTACATTTATATGAGTCATTTCCAGAGTGGTGAGTTAATAATGTCCTCTTGCTTCCTTTCTGGTAGGTCCATAGCCAGAAGATATGTGTGTGTGTGTATCTATAATAGGCTTTAGGAGAGAGTTGCTATTTGCCTAGCAATTACCAGCCTCTGGCCTGGATACATAGGTTCACATTTTCAGAAAGTTCTGTGTTCCCTTTTATTGACTGCCCAATTTAAGATGATTTAGGTAAATCTCACTGTCAAAGGTAGTTACTCAGTCCTTTTTTTGACAACCAGGGCATTAAATTTAAGTGTCTCAGTATCTTTGAAACTCAGTCTGTAAACTTCAGGTTAATTTTAGCCTGGAATTTCAGTGTGTTTACTGGCAGTGATTTAGCACCAACCTTACCTTGCTGTTTGAGGTAACACAAATCTATTTTGTATGCTTTTTCTATTCATTCATGTATATTCAACATCCATAAAATCAGTAAAGAATTTTTGAAAGTGATGCCAGTGTTCATTCCATATGGATTGTTAATAAGTTGCTACGTTTGATATCAATCTGCATATATCTAGAGTCTGTTTTCTAACAGTTATTATGAAATACAGACCTGTATATGACAGTAGCCATTGGTATTAATCAAAATTACATGATTTAAAATCATTTTCAGCAAACAAAAGAAGTCTGCAGCTTGGAATAGTTCAGAAGTCTGAACTTCAGCAGTTCCATCAGCAACCTGAAAATTCAATCTGTCAATGGGAGTAGTGGCAGATAGCAAAATACACTAAAAATATCTGCCCTGAAACTTCCTGTCACCATTATTGCATCTATTTGTGCCCGTGTGTTGTGGAAATTGGACTACTTTTAATGATTTTTTTTGCAGCTGAGAGCCCACGCAGTGGATGTAAATGGAAACCAGGTGGAAAATCCTATTGACATTGTTATTAATGTCATTGATATGAATGACAACAGACCTGAATTCTTACACCAAGTTTGGAATGGGACAGTCCCTGAAGGATCAAAGCCAGGTAATACAGGGCCTTTCAAAGGGCAGGGGGGGTGAGGTACACATTTTGAAGGTGATGCAGAGGGTACCTTCAGACCTTGTAACTTTTCAGAGGTATCTTATTAGTGTGATGAGCTCAGGTACTGTCTTATTATATTTCACCATATTTTTAATTCACTCTTTAACATGCTAAGATTAATTTACAAAATAAGAAAGTATTATATACCTAAACTAAAACAAGGAAGTCTTTAACAATATGACTTCTGGGTTCCTGTTTTGGAAAATCCTATTTATAGTGTCACAGCAATTCCAGTCCTGTTCTTGATAGCCATTGATGTTTGCTTAGTAGGCAGCTCAGAGTCTAAGAGACTTCCAAAATATCAGCAGATCCACTTCTAGTCCTGCCTCTCGGAGGCTTTGGAAATACTGGGATTTGAAATCAAACAAGTGCATTTGAATTCTTGAGAAAACTCTTCAAATGTTGTTCCCATCTCATTAAAATTCTCGTCTGCTCAGACGAAAGTTTGTACTATGGCTGAAACCACTTTCTTAAATTGTCAGCAATGCATAATGAATTTTATAGAAAGGTTAGCACAAGAAATGTATTTTCTCACTTTGCAGCATTGACTTAGCATTCAAGATGGAAAGAACATGTGTCTCAAAGACCTTTGGAGAAGAGCCTTATTTACATTGAGTTAAAATCAGTACGTGCACCAATTCTGAAAATTAAATATGTTTCCTTTGGCCCAATTAATAACGTTTTTATCTAAACCAGAGGAGCTCTGTTGCTACAAAAATATTGTTTGTGGCAAAATTGTAGGATTTCATTGTTTATGGAGCTTCTTCAGTTATAAGCAAATCTGATATTTTATAAACAGCAAGTATTTTTATCTCCTCTTACGTATTTTAATCACTCTGTTGGTGAGCCTTGTGTTTAACCAGTTTGTTT